GTTGTAGTCCTCTTTCAACTCAAAAAGGAGTAAATAATGATTATAATTGAGGAACTTAGGTGTCACTCTACCCTTGAAACCCAATTTGACCAAACCGACAGATAAATTTCAGAGAGAAGGGACAGTGAAGGAAAACTTCAAAATGAGAGCATTATCATACGACCCGGCTAGGGAAATAACAGTGGGCTCAGGGAAACTTACCTTGAACCTGCCCTCCTCGGAGCGGGTGATAGTCCCGCTCTGCTTGTCCCGGAAGGACTCCAGAATGAGTCTCTGATGGTCCGGATTGGCGGTGAAGGTACCGGACACCGCGTCCCGAAATGATCGTGCTCCGGAAGGGCGGGAGCTTTTTGGGTCGCAGATTGGGGATGTGGAAAGGTCGTGCTCGGTTCTTGGCCCGCGCTGCTTCTTGTCAGCCGCTCGCTAAAATCCATAAAGTTGACGAACATTGTATTTTCTGGAGGCGAGATGAATGCCGCAGCTGGGCCTGGACCTAAAATACCGGCCATCGGTGAGGGTGGGGGACCACAGGTTAATGTAGCGTGTCTGATTCCGGTGTTAGCGGTGGCCTGGTCGAGCTGGGAGGCCTTCGTCGAGGTAGCAGTTGAGGTGGTAGTCGGCATGTCGGGAAACGGGCCGGCGAGAGAATGGGACCTGGAGAAGTGGGGGCCGCCCGTCTGAATGTTGCTGACATCGACGTCGGCACCGGAGGACGGGTCGCCGGCCGGCGGCAGGATGTCCGGGGTGATGGTCGCCGAGAGATGGTGGCTGTTGGACTTGGCTGGGAATTCTCGACTGTTATGCTGGGATGGTAACGAAGAGGGAGGAGTGTGGCTGATGGGCTTGGAAAAGGTTATTGGGTCTGATGGGCTGATCAAGTGGAGGGAGGGATGGGCTGGAGAGTTGGTAGGGGAATATAAATGGGCCATGGGAAGCGGCCCAAAGTGGTTGAGGATAGGCCTAGGGGGAGGCCCAATTGGTTGGCCCACATAAGAATGAGCTGGGGGGAATTGAGAATGGATAAGGTTTGCAGATTGGGGATGAAGGTCTGGTGTCGGGAGAGGGGCAAGGGACGGCGAAGGATTGCTCGCCGGAAGGGAGCCAAATACGGCAGCCTCTTGATTCTCGTGAACAGAAGACGTCGCCACTGCTACAGGGAAGGTCGTCTCTGCCGTGACGCCTGAGCAGCGACCTCCATGTGTCGTCGGGCTTCCCCGTCGGGAAGGGTGGAAAATCTCGGTCGCATGAAAAACAGAATCGACCGTCTTTTTGAGGTTAAATGACCAAGATCTGAGTTTCTCGTGGAAGGTGCCGGAGCTTGATGGTTGAAGTCTGGTTGCAGGCGTCGAGGGAGGAAGGATCTTAGAGCTCGGGAGAGGTTCCATTGATCTGGCCGGCTAGTCGCCGGCGACGACGAACGCCGGCAGGGGTCTATGTGGTAGGGGTGACCGAAATTGATTAGGAGGGTAGGGTTTCTAGAGAGAGAAGTTTATATGCTTAAGTTTATCGCACATATATTTTTCAACTTATTTATTATTTGGATGGATTCATGTACATTGATATTTTTATGTTGTTTATTTTCAGCATATGGGGGTATTTCTCTCAAAGACACAGACAGCTCAAGAGTTATTCATTGGAAGACCCGTTAATTTGATAGGCCTATTACATTTGGAGTATTTAACATGAAATAAAATAGCCTAAAGGGCTAAGCGAGAGGTGGCAGCCCAAAGTTTTCAAAGTTAGGAGATGGAGGACAATTAAATAATTGTTTAACCACTTGGAGGGACACATAGCATCAAGTAGATTTATTTGGAAGGGATTTATTTCCAATAAGGAGGAGGGCATAACTCACGCGGGGAAAAAAGAATTATTCACGCAAAGCCTGGGAGCCGCCACACATATATACGCGAACAGAGGAGAACTACGGGAACGAAGAGAAAAGGCAGACTGAACGCGAGGAATCCGAGAAAAGCGGAGGGAGAACGCACCCATACGAGAAGGATTTTATTCTTCTCTTTTCTTCTTTATTTCTTATGTTAGAGTAGATTTTATTTCTAGTTCCGGGGAAGTTGAACCCTACGACTTGATGATGTTTGATTAATTTATGGTTGATTATTGAGTTATCTTTTTGGAATTGCTTGATTTATTTTGAATAATTAACCATGATGTGTTGAGTCTTATTTAGATTAATCACCTAGATTAGGCTTTACATATCTACACCTGAATTAGGCCTTCAATCCGTAATTGTTGATGTGTTTAATTCGCAAGTGGTATCCGGAAGATGGTAACTACCGGGGATAACACGGACTATTTAAGTGAACGAATGCATCACTACTTAGTCTAGCCTATTTTTCTAATACGTAAAGCGGCTAATTGTATTAAATCTTGAAAACGTTTTTCTGGACTGTACAAGAAGTCAGGTTTAATCGTAGAGCGTCTCGCGGTTAGATTAAAAATAAGGAAAAATTCGGGTAACAGACCGTGTCGTTGCCTAGGGCTAGTAATTTCATAAGATAACGAGATTTGATACCAGAATTGATTAGATGAGGCAGTCGAGGGTGTAGACGGAACCGTGAAATAGAAAATTCTCTTATTTATTTTATTTTTTTTTTTATTGTTTTGATTTCATTCTTAGATAGATTAGTTATTATTTCAAAATCTCCCCCTTTATCGCTTTTATAATTCAATTAATACAAGAATATTACAATTTGATTCACACTCCCTGTGGGTTCGACCCTTGCTCACCACTACTACTAGTTAGTAGAGGTTGGTTAAAGAGAATATAAATTATAATTTTGTTGCGTTGCGACGCGCGGTCACTAAGTCGACTCGACGGCGTACTAGGTCGACTTAGGACGCCTCGAGGCCCTGAGATCTCTGACGACTCCCACATACTTCAAAGGTTGTTAAGGATAAGAAGGAATCTGGAGTTGACTAGGAGGTGGACGGAATGCGAAACGACTAGGGTATTTCGGACATTTCACATAAGTCGGCCAGAGTATTTTGGGGACTTCAAGTGAATGTTATACTTCTATACAAAGGAGCTGAGGTAACCCTTAACCCTAACTCCATTCATCCTCTATTCTCCTCCATTGCTGCTGCTCCCTCAGAGCAGCTCTCTTCATCTCTCTCACATACTGACTTGAGCGTCAGAGGCTCTACGCCGGAAACCCCTCTGGCGTTGAGTTCTTGCAGGTACTCTTACGGTCCAGCGACGGTTCAAAAGCGGCTAAGGCAGATCTGAGCTCATTCCCATCGGTTCATTCCAGATCTGAGCTTGTTTCCATTGGTTCACTCCAGATCTGAGAAGAGACCCATCAACATGTTTATATAGGTTTTTGTTTATTGTATATATATGTATACTATAATGTATATTATATAAAATCTATTGCTAATTCCATAAACAACTATATTTAGAAGTAAAAGAGTGTAAAGCTCATTTATTTATTTAATAATTGAAGGCCCTGTCCATTAAAAACCCGGAAGGACTAATATAAAATTTAGAGCATGTTTGTTTATGGAAATTTTCAAAAAAAAAATTAACATTTTAACTCAACCATTTTTTTAACTCAATTTTAACCCAATCTCACTATCATAAATATTATCAATATAATTAAATAATATCAATCAATCATTCATACACACCACATCAATCTTAATTCACTATTCATCCACTCACATTATTTTAACTAACCATCACATCAAACCATCTCTTTCTTACTTTTACATCAAATCATTTTAATTGTTTCATTTTAAATATTATTTTAATATACCCACTAACAATTAACCATCCCATATTTTTCAAAATTAACTAAATCAAACCAAAAAATCCAAATAAAACCAAAAATTTCTATAAACAAACATGCTCTAAGCATCTCTTCTATTTGTTTTAGGTAGTGTTTGGTTGGGGGTTTTGGAGGGGAGGAGAAGGGAGAGGAGAGGAAAGTTTATATTTCACTTGTTTGGTGCAATGTTTCAAGATGGAGGGGAAGGAAAAATTTGGATTAAAATCTCTCAAAATAGTGTTTTTGGCTCCCCTCCAAAATCGGGAGGATTTGGAGGGGAAGGAAACTATGAGATAAAATTACATTTTTGTCCTTAATATTTTGATTATTTAATTTTTATATCTCTTATAACATTAAGGACAAATTGTCAATTTAACATTATTTTTCATTTTTTTTTTATTTTTTAACCAATCAAGGTTTACTATTTTCTCTCCCTTCTCCTTCTATAAAATCCCTCTAAAAAGGTATTTTACAATATCTTCCCTCTCCTTTCCTCTGTTCCATTAAAATTTTTTCCCTCCATTGAACCAAATATACCTTTAGGCTTTCAGCCGAAACAGTAACTTATGTTGATATAGGAGGTAGAAAAAGTCATAACTCTCCATTTTTAGTGCAAATCGGCCGCAGCTAGCTCACCCCCTCCCTCCGAGCTTGGTCTTTCATTCACACTGCACTCAAAACTACCAAGGTACCTCTTGATACATATTTTCTCTTCTTCTTGTTTTTTTCTTTCTTTATTACATAAATTCCAACATCCGCAAGCACACCAACTCCTAATCCTTAGATGCTGAGTCCTGACCACATGGTCTTGGTGAACCACCAACCAGCCCAAACCAGTACCGCTTGAACGGTTCAACCGGTTTTTAACCAGTTCGAATGGTTCTATACAAGTTTTCCAACTAGGCGGTTTACTGAAAGAATTGGACCAGTTTCAAGGCCGGTTCCCGCTTGAACCAGTCCAACGGTCTGGTTTTTAAATTATTATTGTAATTCGTACTTTTGTTTACTTGTTTCAGATACAACAAATGAATTTGCTAATACAGATATATATTTATTAGAAAAATATTGTTAACTAATGTGTCAAGCATAGCCCAAAATATAATAAAGCACGAGAGTTTTATATAACATAATAAACAAGATGCACAAAGTAATTCATGTTTTAGAAAGTCACATAATAATCACACGAAATTACGCAAACGGCATCAACATCACAGCTCACAAATCATACGGCTGCTTGCCCGTGAACTTGACCTCGATCGGGCTCACGTTCTTGCCGATGGACCTCATGTTCTGGCCGACCCCGGTCCTGCCGGCGTTGACTTTCTCCGGGTAAACCCCGTCCTTGGGGTGCAAATACTGCACCTCCCCGTTGGGAAAAACCCTGTAAAACTGGTACTTTATCTTGTACTTGGACCGGAGCCTGGTCCCCAGGGCAAGGCACTGCTCTTTCCGGGCCAGCTTCAGCAGATTCGGGCCCTGCCGCATGATGGCGGCACCGCCCGTCGGCATCTCAAACACCTGCTCCTTCGGGGAGTCCCACGTGATAACATAGAACTCCTCGACTTGGGCCTTGCGGAGGAGCCCGCCGGTGCTGCCGCCGAAGATCGGCGACGGGGTGTTCGGGTCGAGCTCCGGCGGGGTGAATCCTGCAGGAGCCTCAGGCTCTTTCGTCGCCGCCGGGGCCTCGTCGGCCATGGCGCGGATTGGGCGGTAGGCGGCGGAGGAGATGGGCTTTGCCGCCGGCCGGAGGGCGGGGAACTGCGCGAGGGACTGCTTCCGGTGGGATGCTAGACGGTCGGCGGGGTTGGGACCGGAGAGTGTGGGGGTGAATAGGGAGGCTTGGGTCGCCATGGCCATGAGATTTGATTGGAATTGATTTTTTTTTTTCTTCTTGTTGGAGGGAAGGAATATTATCTGTTGAAAAGTGTGTTATTTTGTGTGGATGGCTGAGGAGATTTGGATACTAGATAAGGTGATATGGTGAGAGGCCAATCAGAATCAGAAATAATTTTG